AAAACGTTTTACATAAATAGTGGGAGTATCAATCTTGTGATGCAAATTTCGTCCAGGATTGAATTGACGAAATCACACCTACAAAACACGAAACTCCCTTAGCCTAATTGACTAACACCAAAGAAAAAAGGAGAGGGTATCCGCCAAGGGCTTTCGATGCCTAAATCAAAAATAGTTTAAGAGAAACTAGAGCATAGAGAATTCTAAGTAGTAAGTGGTGATAACCGATTTCTATATTGGACTTGGCTATTTATAGGAGAGATTATCCTCCCAGTTAGTTGGGAGGTGAGTTTGTAGGCCATACTAGGCAGATCGCTAAGTTCAGCTAGCATGATGCAGACCAATCCCCACATATAGATACAGGAAATCCATGGGAGGACTCTGGCACGTAGTGGCACTGGAGTGCGGGACACCTAAAGGAAACTTTTAAGAGTTGACCCCTGCCTTCTTGGGCCTTGAAAAAACAGTGGCAGCAATGGGATATCATGGTGAAGGAAAACTTTTGATTTACTAAGAGCATTTGAGTATACAAGCATAGAAAATAACTATTAAAGCATGCAAGAACTCAAAAACTATTCTAATTCCCATGAAATTCAAAGCCTAGTGAATGGTGAACCAAGATTCTTTACAAAGTCAAATAGAAGGATTTGAACTTTCATACTCTTGAAGCCCATCCTTGTGTTCACAAAGTTATCATGGAAATGGGTGACCTTCAAGTTCACTCTTAGCTCCTTGGATGTTTCCTTCCTCCTTGTCTCTTAGCTCCTTGCTTTATAAGGATTTGGTGAAAATGATCTCCAAAGCTTTGAAGGTTGAAAGTCTCTAAGTTTCCACACCAAGGTGAGATGTGAAGAGAACATGGAATGACTTAAAAGAAGAAAGATTTCTAGTTATTCTTCCTCTAGGTGGCCGCCCTCCTTAGAAAGAAAAGAGAGAAAATGTTTTACTATTTGTCTCAAAAAAACCCAAATGAGGTTAAAGCTCAAACTTCTTTTATACTCACTCACAAGTGAATGGCAAACTTGAAATTAAGCCTTCCCTCCTTGCATAAACGGCCTCCCTCTAGTCATTGGGCTAATTGTCCATTTTGTTTAAGTTGTCATACAACTTTAGCATAATAGGTCTTATAAGCCAAAATTCATTTTGGCCATGAAACCCGAAGCTTACTTAATGTGCAATAAGAATTTCTTCGTATGATTAATTAACTAATTAATTAATCTTAACTATCCACAATTAAACTATTTAGTTGTAATCGATCACTAAATCACATAGTTAAACTATTTAATTGCAACTTATAAGTTCTTACATGAAATATTTGTTAGAACTCTCTATTGATCATTGTTCAGTGTACTCAACAACCTTTTGAGCACCTATGTGTTTATCTTAGTGTCCAACGCTAATGACTTGAGACAAGTCATACGCTTAATTGAGTTGGCATCACACATATTAGCCTTAGCGGATTGTCAATGCCTAATTGACAATCCTATGGCTACAAATGTTTGGGAATGAACATAAGAGAAAGGTCTTATTGATCTAACATACTTAGATTACTTATCTCTCGGGTTGATTACATTCCTTGGATTGCATTATTGATTAAACACATAATACATCAAGTAGTGATTAACAATAAATATGGCTCTTCCATTAAACTAAATAAATAGTTTAACATAAGTATTTCAAAAGCTATTGCATCAAATGAGTGGCTTTATGGACGTACTTCTAACACATGGGCCCAAAGAACACCTTGATTTGTGTATGGGACCGAAGCCCCAAGACTTATAAAGCAGGAAAATGCTTAGCCCTTTGAGCTCTGGTGTGGTTTGCTCACAATGTCAAGGATAAAATTGTCATATTAAGCTAAAATTCCATGTGTTGTTCTCCTATTCAATGTGGTTAATTTATGTCTTCACTAAAAACTATATATCAACATGGATGTTTGTAGTTAATAAAGAGGATTTGGGGCTGTAGATTCGATTCGAGAAGCAAGAAAAGCCTGTGGAAGAAGACCTAGGAGAGAGACGATGGTGACGTCATACAGATGTGAGAGCGCCATTTGAAATGTCGATATGGAGGACATAGTTGCAATGAGATGAGAGAAATGATGGATCCGATCGGAAACTCGCTCCGCTGCAAGATCTTCTTGTAACCCTTGCTTTTGCTGTTGTCTTGCCAGAGAAGTGCAATCAATCAATGATGATGATGCAAAAAGAAAACTAAATGATATGGACTTTACACAATTTGGAAATGTAAAAAGGTAAATCAAATCATACATATAAGTGTAAAACAAGGTCAAACGCATCACTTCAAACAAAGAATGTTGTGTTTTAAACTGAGCTTCCTCAAGCCATGGTTATGGCTTGATTCCTTGAAAAAGGGTTAGTTGGTATGGTGCTTCAACTAAGAACCATGCTAGGAGTACCAAAACAATAAAACTTAGGGGAAAGACTTATGAAAGAAGGGTCGAAGCTTCTCAAATCGAGACAAAACTTGTGTTTTTTTAAAAAGAGGTATTTGCTGATTTTCATCTTGAACTTATAAGGCGTTGTCAATTTCTCCTTAAACTTTAAATTCAGTCGATTATCCCTCATTAACCAAGTGCGGAACAAAACAAATGTACCATCTGATATGAGAAGTCTCTCTCTCTAAAATCCATTTCACACCCTCCTTATAATATGGAATGGGATCCTATATGGATCCTCTTTGTGAGGATTTTGGGAATCACTTCATCTTTTTCATTCATCTATCATTCTGCGGCTATAAATCATTTTGATTTTTTTTAATTTAAAATTCAACACAAACATTAACTGATGAAAACTGACCGCATGATGTACGATAAACAGACACGATGACGTGATCCTTGAAATCCTCACAAAGAGGATTTGAAAAGGATCCTCATCTTTCTAATATCTCCAGTTTAGAAGAGGAAAGTTAATCAAATTTTGTCTTAGGTGACAAGTATATGCGCCTGGAAATACCCCAAACACAATTCACTAACAACAAAACCAGCAAACTAACACAAACAAAAACATTCAACATTCATCAAAAGCAAAACACCCTTTCTTTGTTTCTTCTTTGTTGCTGTTGGCCTCGATCACTGGCGGCCCAACGCAACCCCACAGTGGAATTCCCAATGCTCTTGCCAACCTCAAACCACCCATGTCCAAGAACAGCCACTCGCAACTACACGTCCCTATCAACCCACCAACCAAATCATCCAAAAATATACTTAATTTTGCCTTGACAATGTCACATTATTATATAAATAACATTCATGTTTTTATTTTTTTTCCTCATAAAAAATAAGGACATGTTAGGATCATAGAATAAAAGATGACATCAAGAATCTAAATATTGGATACGTATTTTCGTGTCTTTAGGTTGTTCAACTTATCCTTCGGTTATTGATATTGTGGGCACATTCAATGGTTTAAGAATTGTGGCCACATTCAATGATTTAAGAATAAGCCTTTGATCTTTAATATAAGAGTTGTTTAGGAATGCTAATGCATGCAATTTTATTCCTAGTTTAAATTATGGGTTATATTTGCTCAAATTTTAGGTTTTAACTCAAAACTTATTTTAAGCGCAACCATTTGAGAAGAATTGGGTTAGTTTAAAACCTAAAATTCAAAGGGTTGAATATGGTCTTAGTATAAATTATATTGTTTGTTAAAAAAGATCCAAACTCTCTTTGAGCACTGGCCCAAAAAAATCCCTAGGGGTATAGTCAATTAAATCCCTTTCCCCACCCAAAAGCCCCTCTAGCTGCCTACTCCCTTATCTCTTAGTGTAGATAATATCGTTTGTTAAAAAAAAAAAAAAAAAAAACCACTTAGCTCCCTATTGTTCCCTTAGGCAGAAATCAACAGGGCCAGCCCCTAGGCTATGTGATGCAAGGCTAATGTCAGCCACAATTAAAAAATTATAAGAAGTTATATAAAAATAATTAAAAATCCAAAAACTTAATTAAAATACAAAAAAATGGAAAAAATTTAATTATATATATATTTTTTCTATAAATACCTAACTATGTTCTTCCACCTAACATGTAAGATCCCACATCACCTAGGGGCGAGGATCCTCTATGCCTTATATGTGTATTCCCATCTCTACCTAGTACGAGGCCTTTTGGGAGCTCACTGGCTTCAGGTTCCGTAGGAACTCTGAAGTTAAGCAAGAAAGGGGGGCCAGAGCATTCTCAGGATGAGCGACCCATTGGGAAGTTCTGCTCGCGTGAGTTCCTAGAAACAAAACTGTAAGGGCGTGGTCGGGGCCCAAAGCGGACAATATCGTACTACGATAGAGTTGAGCCCGGGATGTGGTGGGGGCCCTGGCCAGGATGTGACAATTTGGTATTAGAGCCAATCCCTAACTGGATGTGTGCCGACGAGGACATTGGGCCCCTAAGGTGGGTGGATTGTAAGATCCCACATCGTCTAGGGGTGAGGATGCTTTATGCCTTATATATATATTCCCATCTCTACCTAGCATGATGCCTTTTGGGAGCTCACTGGCATCGGGTTCTGTACGAACTCTGAAGTTAAGCGAGAAAGAGGGCCAGAGCATTCCTATGATGGGCGACCGATTGGGAAGTTCTGCTAGCGTGAGTTCCCAGAAACAAAACCATGAGGGCATGGTCAGGGCCCAAAGCGGATAATATCGTGCTACGGTGGAGTTGAGCCCGGGATGTGGTAGGGGCCTGGGCTGAGATGTGACATAACACCATATTTCAATATTTTCAAATACTTTCAACCAATCTTTTATTATTATTCAAAATTAAAAATAAAATTATCTTGTACTAAATAATAGTAATATTTTAATACTAATATTCTAAGCTATTCAGTTTAGAAATAAAAATACACTTAAGCAATTACTGTTCACTAAAAATAATTACCGTCCATCTGAAGGAATTGAATTGCCTCTATCGTACGAAGTATTTAAATGGGGAATTGCTCTTACAAAAATAATACTAAAAATGGAAAGAACTGGACCATTGGTGGTATTCACCAAGGGGCGACGTAATATCCTGTTTCTCACCTCGATTGGACCGGTCACGACTCGTTTCGGACTGTTTTCGACTTGAGCTTTGTCTCGCTTGTTTTTCTCCGCGTTGCGGGCGCGGCTATTTGTACGCAGGTCGCGCGTACAGTCAAAACCTACGCTCTCCCTCCCACTCCAACCCCCAAACCCTCAAACCCCCAAACCTTCCTCCTCCTTCCTCTCTTTCTATAGCTCAGCCATGTTTGTTTAATTCTGCGCTTCAGATCAATGTCAAGCTTCCACCTTGTTCGAGTAAAACGGTGAGTGTTCTTCCTATTGTAACTGTATGCATGCACAGCGTTAGTACCAGTGTATATGCTTGTGTTAGTGTATTGTTGTTTGAATCTGTGAGGGCTGTTTGGTTGGTAAGAAAATGTTGTCATTCTTGTGTTTTGGACCCGGGAAATTATCAATTTCTTTATTTGATTTTTGGGTATTTAATGTCTTTCCGAGCAACCAAATGAAGGGTTAGAGCCATGTGTATGGTTTTACTATTGAGCTAAGATATATTTTGGGATTTAGGGTTAATTCCATGAAAATCCTGTGTTTTTTCGGGGTCAAGAAATTGTGATTTTGTTTTTTGTTTTTTGTTTAACAATATAATATAGTTGTACTTCTTGTTCTGGGACAGGAAAGGGATCTACTGAGGTTTCTGTTTAGGGTTAGTTTCGCACTTTGCGGTGTATGTGCTTAAATGGGGGGTGAGATAGTGTCTGGGTCCTGGTTTGGTAGTTTGAGGTTCTCATGGAGTCGTTTGGCGGAGGCTGACAAGCCGGTGATTGGAATTCTGGCATTTGAAATTGCGGGGTTGATGTTAAAGATGGTTAATTTATGGAATAGTGTGAGTGAGAATGAGATGCTTAGGTTGAGGGAAGAGATTGTTAACTTGATTGGGGTCAGAAGGCTCGTGTCTGACAACGATGATTACTTGATGGAACTTGCACTGAATGAGATAATTGAGGATTTGGGATATCTGGCAATGTCTGTCGTCAGGCTTGGGAAGAAGTGCACTGACCCTGTGTATCACCGTTTTGAAGAAATTTTCGAGGACCCTGTCGAGAATGGTTTTCAGTGGCTTGGATGGGCTTACAGGTGGAGCAAAATGGAGAGGAAAGTGAAGAAAATGGAGAAATTTGTTGAAGCTACAATGCAATTATCGCAGGAGCTGGAAGTGCTGGCAGAGCTTGAGCAAACTCTGAGGAGAATGCGTGCTAATCCTGAAGTAAATCGGGTAAAATTGCTTGAGTTTCAACAGAAGGTAATGTGGCGGCGTCAACAAGTGAAAATTTTACAAGATATGTCTCCTTGGAGTAGAACGTATGATTACATTGTCCGACTTTTGGCAAGATCCCTTTTCACAATGTTAGAGAAGATAAAGCTGGTCTTTGGATTTAATCAAATGGCTTTGGGAGAGGGAATGGATAGCTCTGAAGTTATCAATTCTGTTTGTCTTTCCCACAGTCATTCATTTTCTGCTCTTATGCACTCTTCCGTTCATCCATCTGATGGTAATCCATGTGGGTTCTATTCTGAACCTCTTGGGAGGTCGCTTACAAAGCCGAGGTTTAATGCTGGCAAGAATAGAACAAACAAGCAGCGGCAAGCTCATCACCAGTCATCCATCCAACATGGAAGTTTTTCCCAACTAAAAGCCAAACGGTTTGCTCATGTTCGGCCTTTTAAAGAATGTATGACAGGTGGAAGCAATTCTCCTGCTCTTGAGAGCTGCAAGCCAGATATGGGTGGTTCTATGAGTTTGAGAAGTACCAGTATCAAACATTTTGATGACTTAAAGTACACACATATGGGATCTCAATCTTTGAGCCACGGCATCTATTCTAAACTGTCCCTGTTCAGTTCAAAATGCACACTATTAAATGCTCCACCATCTACCCTTGGCGATGCTGCTCTAGCTCTCCATTACGCATATGTGATAGTTTTGATTGAAAAGATAGCTTCATCACCTCACTTGATCAGCCTTGATGAAAGATCTAATCTTTACAATATGTTGACCACAACCATAAGAGCTGCTCTGAGAGCTAGACTAAAGTCATATGCCAAAACTATGGGCTCATCTGTGTATAATCCTGCCCTTGCAGGAGAGTGGAATCGAGCAATGGAGCAGATCTTGGGATGGCTTGCTCCACTCGCCCATAACATGATACAGTGGCATTCTGACCACAATATTGTGAAGCAGCAGAAAGTTTCCAAGACAAATGTGCTTCTGGTCCAGACCCTCTACTTTGCAAGTCAGGCTAAAACTGAAGATGCAATTACAGAGCTTCTCATTGGTCTGAACTATATGTGCATGGTTGATGAACTTAATAGGAAGGCTATGCGAGATGCTGGTGGCAGCCGGCCATACGATGATTATATGCTCAAGCAGGATGAAATTGCTTAACAAATTCTGCAGATGGCATTAGCGGATTTTGGACTTGCACAGGTCTATAAGACGGAGATGTTCATCAATAAAGTGGTTTAAAGAAGCATGAGTTACCAGACAACACTTCCAAGAAGTAGTTATAAGTGATCGGAAATCGAATTACTCCACTCTTGAGATGTTTAACGCATCAAATTAACACGTTTAGCTTCTGTTTTGCTGTTTACTTTTTCTTCTTGGAACTCAAAGATTCTTTCATTTGTTCATATGTTGGATGAATTGGGGGCCTACGGTCAGTTTCTTGTAAAGCTTATCTTGTAATACGAAACTCTGGCATCACGGATAGGTATATTTGCACCGATCTTTTGACATATCCGTAGCTACCTTCATTTAATCAGATTGATTGCTTCTTTTTAGTTATTTTCTCCTCTTTGTCCTCTGCTTTTCGGAAGGGGGCATATCGCTGCACTCCCTTTTGACCTCTTGCACTCCTAATTTTATCCATTGATACTCATTTGACCTATTCAATCTAGTGACAACAAAAAAAAGGGAGTCAAAGAGGTGAAAAGACGGAAATTACTCCTCTTTTCGTAATAGTATCAATGAATTATGTTCTTCATATATATCAATGGTCAGAAAATTGTCTATGTGTTGATCATGTCGTCCCTATTGTTTGGGCCCTTATAATACCAACTACATGGAAAAATCCAGAGATTTAACTTTTTCTTATGTAAATTTTTAATCAAAAACCATGCTTGATCAATCAATTGATCTCCTTTTTCTACACAATGTTTCTTTAATATTGCCATACAACATACTTCTTTAAGACTTCCCCCCCCCCCTCCCCAACGAATAGCTTTCACACATTTTGTAATACAACGTTGCTGTAGCACATAAGTTGAGCAACAATTTGACATAATACTATTAGCATTAACGTTCGAATCATCAAATTGATTCACCAAATTTGTTTACAAATGAGGTGGGGCAATGCTTGCGTCAGTATTTTACATAATTTGAATCAATGAAACACTGTCACGTTATTCAGTGAATACATTTGACGTTCAGTACGATATTTCAATATTAAACAAGTCGATTAAGATCACTCATTCAAGAACACCAAATTGTTGTCTAGCAACATCATAGTTTCTCTAATAACATTTGCATCCCCAACTTCCTAGGCACTGCTAGCAATGGCTCAGATTTTGTCATTGTTATCCCCAACTTGTCCTTCCAATCCATAGTTTCTCTAGTAACATTTGCATCAAGTGACCAATCAAATTGTGAAGCAACATCCCCAATGTAAGATGCAGCATTCTATGAGCCAGAGGAACACCTGCAAACATTCTTCTTCCAGCTCCAAATGGAATCAACTCATAATTCTGCCCCTTATAATCAGTCTTTGAGCCTACGAACCTCTCAGGCTTAAACAACGTCGGCTCTTCAGGCCACACATCTGGATCTCTTCCAATTACATAAGCATTCACAAACACCTGTGCGTCTTTGGGTACAAAGTACCCCATGAAACTGGTGTCATGCATTGCCTTTCTTGGTACTAGGAATGGAATTGGTGGATGCAATCTTAGCGTTTCTTTAATTATGCCCTGCAAGTATGGAAGATTGTCAATATCACAAGTCTTTGACAAGAAACAAAGAAATGAGCTTATGAATGAAAGCCTGACAATCAGATGCATTTGGACTGGTGACTAAGATGTCATCAACGTAGACCAATACAATCACAAGGGAATGATATGTATGCATAAATAAGGAACAATCAGATTGAGAGTTAGTGAAACCAAGCGACAGTAATGTATGACCAAGCTTATCAAACCAGGTCTGAGGGGCTTGCTTTAAACCATAAAGAGATCTATTAAGCTTGCAAACAAATGAAGGCTGAGAAACATCAATAAAACCAAGAGGTTGTTGCATAAACACCTCTTCTTTGAGCGTACCATGAAGAAATGCATTACTAATGTCCAACTAATTGAGAAACCAATCATTTTGAACAGCAAGAGTTAATAGAATTTGAATGGTCACTGGTTTGGCAACTAGACTGAAGGTGTCTGTGAACTCAATACCTTCTTGTTGGTGAAATCATTTGGCTACAAGGCGAGCCTTGTATCTGTCAACTGTACCATCAGGTTTTCTTTTTATCCGAAACACCCATTTATAGCCTACAATGTTTTGATATGGAGAGGGAGGTACTAAGGTCCCAGTACCTGTGTTTTTGAGAGCCTGAAACTCTTCGAGCATGGCTTGATTCCAGTGAGCATGCTTTGAGGCTTGTAGATAAGTGGTAGGCACCAAAGTATCAATATCAATTGGATGTTTAGTGGCAGAGAGAGCTTTTGGTTTAAAGATACCTGCTTTAGACCTTGTACTCATGGGATGAGAGTTGGTAGGAATCAATTGCTAAATTAAAGATGAATAATTTGGCTGCAAAGGTAATGAATGAGATGCTGAGGATACTTGTGGAGAGAACTGAGATGGTACTTGTGAAGATAAAGTTGGCTGAGATGTTGCAAGTGATGGAGATGCTGCTGACTGTGATGTAGGCACTGTAGACGATGGTGAAACATGCTAAGATATAGGAAATGAAAGATTAAATTATGTGGAAGAAGCATGCACTGGAGATTGTGGTGTTGATGAGGTAGAAGACTTTTGTACATCATGAAAGGGAAAATGCCCCTCATTGAACAATACATGCCTTGAAATGTAGATTCTCTAAGATTGAAGATCTAAGCACCGATATCCTTTGTGCTGAAGACTATAACCAAGAAAGACACAATGCTTGCTTTTGTCTTCCAATTTTAAGGAAACATAAGGTTTAAGCCAAGGATAGCAGCTACAGCCAAACACCTTTAATTTTCAATAATCTGGAATTGTCTTGAAGAGGAGTTCCCATGGAGATTTGTCCAATCTCGAAATTGGTAATCTGTTGATGAGATAAAGGGCAGTAGAGAAGGTTTCAACCCAGAATTTGTGTGAGACTTGAGAAGAAACCAATAGAGTCGGTGCAGTCTCTGTAGGTTTTAACCCAGAATTTGTGTGAGACTTGAGAAGAAACCAATAGAGTCCGTGCAGTCTCTGTAAGGTCTCAACACATCCATTTTCTTCTGGGGTGTGAGGACAACTACATTGATGGGAAATACCACTATTTGATAAAAAAGAGTTGAACACAGAGCTAGTGAACTCACCCCCTGAATCTGATCGCAAGATTTTTATTTTATTGCCAATCATGTTCTCTACATAAGCTTTGAAAGATACAAATATAGAGAAAACCTCATATTTAGTTTTCATAGGAAACATCCAAGTATATTTGGTGAACTCATCCATAATCAACAAGCAAAACTTGTAACCACCGACAGAAGAAACTGGAGATGGACCCCAAATGTCACAATGTAGCAACTCTAAACTAGTAGACATAGAACTAGTACTGGAAGAAAATGACAGCTTATGATTTTTGCCTATGGTACAATCTGTGCAAAAGAAAGATACAAACTTGTCACCATTGTGAACAAGTTTATGTTTATTTAATACTTTTCTAAACATAACAGAAGAAAGATGACCGAGCCTATTATGCCAGGTCTTCAATGATGCTTTAGTGGTGAACATAGCAGAATGTGAGAAGGGCACATTGGAGAGACCTTGAAAGGGACAAAATCCTGCTTTAACTGGCCCTTGAAAAAGCATCCTCCCCGAAGAACGATCCTTGATTTCAGAACCATCAGAATCAAGGGTGAAAGAGCAATGATTATCTTTTAAGAATTGATAGGTAGAGAGTAAATTGAATTTCATCAATGGAACATGAAGGACATTACTCAATCTGAAATTAGCATGTGGTGTTGGAATGATAGAATTACCAATGTGATGGATAACCATACCTTGTCAATCACCAATGTACACCTTGTCTTCGCCAGAGTATGGATGTGGAGATTGAATTGTAGATATGTCATTAGTAATATGGAATGTAGCACCCAAGTCCATCAACCAAATAGAAGGAGATTGCTGAGAGCTAATGTGAGCACACATAGCAGCAAGTTTTGCAAGAGGGATTTTTCCAGCAAAAGCATGATTCATTCTCTTATAACAGCTTCATGATCAAAGGAATGGCATATTTGACAGGGAGTTCTTCCACCAGAATTAGAGTGATTTCCACCAAAATTGTTACAAATTCTAGAATTGTTTTTATAGTTGCCATGATTAACACCAGAATTGTGAAAGTTACCTTGAGGATTATTAAAGTTCTTGTGAAAATTGCCACAATTATTATGTGGAAAAGATCCTCGACCACGATTGTTGTTGTGAAACTTTGGTGGAGCATTATGATTAAACTGTTGAGCAACATAAGCATGAGGAGAATTGTAATATTGTGGCGGTGTAGGAATAAGAGGTTGAGACTGCACAGCAAAGGCCTGAAAAGGCTCAGAACCAGATGAGGCAACACATTTCTTTTTGCGATTCATGAAGACTTACTTATTGATCAACAAACCATGAAGTTCATCCAGTGTTGTGGTGGAAATCCTAAGCATGATAGAGTCATTAAACGACTTATACTCATCAGGTAAGCCTTTTAAACTAATAGCAATCAAGTCATGATCAGAGATAGAAGCTTCAGCAATCATTTGAGAATTAGAGAGGCCTTTAATTATTTGCAAATAATCCGAGGTAGGAAGATCACCTTTGTGAACAGAGTGAAGACGAAAACGAAGATGATGAATATAGGCAGCATAAATGCCACCAAATCGATGCTAGAGATTTAGCCAGAGTTCTTGAGATGATGTGATATGACGGTGAATGGAATAATCTTCTCAGGAGAGTAGAATTCAGCCAAATCAGTATATTCTGATCTTTTTTATACCAAATTTCGAAGTCAGGATTCAAAATTCTAGAGTTTTGACCAGATTGATCAAGAACATAAGGCGGCGGGCAAACTTCAGATCCATCATTGATTTCGATAAGTTTATATCGTCAGAAAATTGGAGCGAAGATAGCTTTCCAGACAAGGTAATTGTCATCCTTAAGCTTCGTAGGAACCATACAACTGATATTCTAAACAGTGATGGAAGAAATCGACGAGATCGGGGAATTTGAGGAATTAGGGTTCATCGTTGCAAAATTAGGGGAATGAATGGCAAGATTTGGGGCAATAACTTTAGGTTGCACATGAGACGAAGTTGAAGACACAATGATCGAAGATCAAAGTTTGAAAAAAAATCGAGAGGAATTAGCAGATGCACTAATTGAAGAAGCAATTGCAGGGAAGAAGGATCGAGAAACGGTGAAGCAGAGAGACGATGATACCATGTAAGAAATAAGCCTTGCATTATCTCTTTCTTAATGAGTAAGGAAAATACAACTCAGTATTTATACACTTTCCTAATAAAGCTTAGTGACTAATTGTGCTTAATTAAATCTTTAATCACAGAGATTAGTTACAGAAACTGTTACAACTAAAACTATAACTGTAAAACATAGCTATAAAAAACTGTTAGCTATGAGTTATCCCTTTATGAAGAACCCCTATGCTGTCCTTCAAAGTACCATTTGTTGAGACTCTTCATACCTCCAAAATTATATTGCTTCTTCAGAAATTTGATGTAATATATAGTGATTTGTTTGTCCTTTTCTGGTTTTATTTTTCTTTTACATCAAAATCTACTTTTTTTTTTTTTTTTTTTTTTTTTGCCAGTTGAATAAAAATTTGGATCTTTTCTTGTTGCTAAATGTAGGGTCCTTGACATTGAAAGTGTCCAATTCTATGTGTCATGACCTGTCCTGAGTTTTTTGATGCCTAGTGCGAAAGCTCAAAATGTGCCATTTTTTAATATGGAAACATATGTTAAAAAAAAAAAAAAAATTTAACGAGGGCTGGAACCCAGTCGAAGCTGGGGGGCTAGGCCCTCATGTCCACATTATATTACTTGAGAAAATATACAATAAGGGGACATAATACCTAAACCCCGACAATCAAAAGTACAATCACATACAAGCACTTCTAGCTAAGCTCCTTGAAATTTCAACCTTTAAGAAATTGTCGTCAGGCATTTTTTGAAGCAAAATCATCAATTATATCATCATACTCCAAGTCTTCAATCTCATCCTTTTCAATGCATAAGATTGCTAATCCATTTAGCCTATCTTGAGTCATAGTGGTTCGCAAGTAAGGTTTTAATAATTTCAATTTTGAAAAACTTCTTTTTCTAGGTGCCATGGTCACAGGTACAGTCAACAGTACACGATAAGTAATCAATATATTAAGACACATGTCAGTTTCTTTTATGAAGTTTGCTATTTCCATGGATGTCCAAGGGTTATTAGAGAGAATGCTTCTTTAGGTAACATCATTTGCAAAACCTGAAATTCGGAACATAAGTTGGCTCCATCTACATCCATGGTATTTCCATGTTTCAAATGTGCTTCAAGATTCATACAATTTTCTTTTAGTGCTTGATCATCCAATGAAATTAACTTTGGTGCATCAAACAAGAAGCCAAAAATAGATTCAAAAGGCTTTAACTGTCCAAACCTGTGTTTCAGTTGAGAAATAGCAATATCCACTATAACAAGAAAATAATATGTTCAAAATGATTTTTCAGCAAACTGCTGTTCCCTATCATTACCATCAACTTCGTCATGATGTTTTTTTTTGGGTCTATGACATTTCATTTGAAAAGCAAGGTCAATTTCCGAATGAAGTGTAATTTCTTTAGCATCACTCATAGCAGAAGCAAAACCAGTTTCTCTGTAGTTTTCGAAAAATGTAACAAGTAATTCCAATGCCTGTACAACAACATCAATACGCATGTATTCAGATTGTAATTTTGTACTCACCACGTTAATCTTCAACAAAATGTCATACCAAATAACCAAACTTAATACAAAATCAAAACTTGAAAGTTCTCCTAATGCTAAACATCCTATATCCCTGCTTAATTGAGGATTCTCAGTAATTTCCACAAACTTAAACAAAGCATTTCTAACCTGGGCTACTTGGGATTTAGTTGCTTTAGCACTTTCAATGTGACTTTCCCATCGAGTAGTTAACAATGACTTCAAAGTTAAACCATCAAGATGTTCAAGCAAAATATTCCAACACTTTGTAGAGTTGGAAAACACCATATATATGCATTGACATGCTCCAAAATTTTTTTTTTCTTTAAGATATGAATTTGCCATATCATAAACTATTAAATTAAGACAATGAGAACCACATGGCATGTAATAGGCTATGGGATTTATGTCTAGCAATCTTTTCTGGACACCTTGGTGTTTTCCACTCATGTTAGACCATTATCATAACCTTGTCCCCTCACATTATCAATATCAAGATCAAGAGACTTTAGGACATCTTGCAACTCATTAAAAAGTCATCCTGATGTATCTTCTGTTGGAAATGTGCCCTAAAACCAATCATATGATGATACTTTACGGACATTTCAAACTAATGTAGTTTAAATGTAAAGGGCAAAGATTATTGTTTGAGCCATCTCATATAAATGTTATATGCTTAAACGATAAGTCCAAGGAATATGTGATTGGAAGAATGCGATCTAAAGAAGTTAGATTCATGAGACCATTCTTTCGTTGACACATCCTAAACGTTCCTGATCATAGGATTGTCAATTGGGCATTGACAGTCCGTTAAGATCAATACGTGCTATGTCTTCTCTCAGGGAGAGTGACTAGTCTCGAGTCATTGGTGTGTGTGACATCAAGACAAGTACGTAGGTGCTCAATAGAGAATGAGTTCACTGAACACGATCAACGAAGAGTTCTCATATTCATGTCACATGAGAACTCATGGTTGGGATAATGCAAATTAGTCTTTTGACCTGAGGCATCACAGTTGTCTTGTGGTTAGGTCCTTAATCTTTGATTATGTCAAAGTCACTCCATCAGGAGGGTGTCTACGGCATCGTTGGGGTTAAGCCACTTAACCATGGAGGCAAGTGAATGCGCAACAAGGGATCTCTAACCTTCAAACTGTTTGAGGGAGAATACTCTATGATATGATTAAGAATCTTTGGCCAAAGTATGAATGAGATTTAGGAATGTGTTCCAAATCACATTCAAGGTAATCATATAAGCACAAGACTCACATTGGATAGTAGACATGAATAAATTATCAAACCAAACAATGTGGTCAAGAGTATTGTATTAGAGAAAGACCGTATTGCATTTGTAATCCTAAAACTGAATAGGTTCTCCACCTCTTCTGATTAGCTTGGGTAACCATGACATGCTGCTAGGCGTCAACCATGGTTTGTGGAAGCCCTAAAAGTGTATTATCACTAACGGGAGAATTGAAAGTAAGTTTCAATTCACAATCGATTTGAAAGAGTTTGAATCGCCCACTGCCTCGCTAAAAGGAACCTAATGGATCGTTCACCGAGTAAGGTAGAGTTTGAAGAAACAACGGAGATGAGTAAGAATAATTAAATGGTTTAATTATTTATCTAAGGCTAGGATTAATTAATATGTTAATTAATCAAACGAATAAGTTCGTTAAAGACCTCGGGTTAGTTTTGGGCCGCAAGGCCCAATGGGATTTGAATGTCAAGCCCATTAACTCAAGTTGTATGACAACTTGAATAAACAAAGGGCTTGAAAGCCCAATAAACCTATAGGCCGGCCATGTTAGAAGAATAGGGCTTTTGGTCCATTAGGTCACTTATTTGAAGGGACTATATAAAGGACTTTATAGCCTAAAATTCATTAAGGGTTATTTTTGGGGAAAGGATGAGAACACAAGCTCTCATTTCTCTCTAAAATTTCGGCCACCTTGGAGGGATCATCTAGCAATCAAACTCCTCCAAGGTCACTCATTTCTTCTTCATTATGCCTTGGTGATGAATCATTAGAGGTTCTCAATTTTGGGAACTTGGAGAAACCTTTTCATCTATCCAAATCCATGGATCTAAGATGCAAGGAATGAAGGCCCTCTCTTTGGGTGATTAGCCTTTGCTTATGCAAAGAGGAATCTACAAAGGTATTGATTTCTCAACTCACTTTGTTTTGAGTTGAGTCTTGGTTCACCTATCTACTAGGCTTTGAATTTCATGGGTAAATGTTTTGTTTTTAAGTGCATACAAGCATGATTCCGCCTTTAATTGTTAATTGCATGCTATTGATGTTGCTTAAATGAACATGATCTTCCAAAATAATCCTTCATCTTCCACACTTAAAAACTCCATGAAATACTCCCTTATATTTATTGACCTACTTGACAAGTGAACACATCTCAAAATTAAAGTCATATGTTCCATATGACTTGCATTAGGAGTACAATCAAGAATGAAAGAAAAAAAAATTAGCTTCTTTTACTTTTTTAATGATTGTAGCTTTGACTTTTGAAGCTAAAATAGCTATCAACTCATTTTGGATTTTATGGCTCAAATAGTGATGATGAATCTCTTTATTCTCAATGAGTCGAAAATGCTTTTGCATTATTGGATCAAACTCCACAATCATTTCAGGTAAACCTAAGAAGTTGCTATTAGAGTCTTCATAAGGTCTTTCATTTGAATTGCTAAATTACGTATGGCAAGACATTTCACTAAGCATCACTTGTTTCTAACGATTTGTCTCTTTCTTGATTCACATTTGAAATTCTTTGTCAATTGTATGATTTTTTTGTCAATCTACTTTTCATCCCAACCCAAGTTCTCGAATTAGTGAGATGCTCTTTACTCTTTTCATGTTGGTCAAGCTTGTCACCAAGATGTCTCCAATCGCTAATTCCATCTTTTGCAAACTCACTTTTTGAGGCAATTGTTTTAAACAATTTACAACAAAAGCAAACGACTTTATCCAACTCTTTTGAGTACACGAGCCATTTCCTATCATAAATTTCACCCATTCGTAATTTTTTTTTTTATCATAGTAGTGTGAGGAACATTTTCTAAAGAGTTTGTCCTTAGGATAAGTGAGATTCCTTGAACTGGTCCTTTTTCTACAAGTAAGTCTCTCATTTTTGCATTAAGACCATCCCAAACTCTTGGATCATAAATGTTTAAATGGAAAATAGGTTTAGGAAATTCAATATTTTCCTCTACACCAATATGATCATCATCAACATTTAAATCCACATCACCACCATTTTCATGGTCTTGAGACTCATTACCAACATGTTCCTCTAAATCACCACCATTTTCATGGTCATGAGAGTCGTCATTAACATCTTTCTCCACATAACCACCAATTTCATGATCATGAGACTTCCCAACAACATTTTGTGACTCTTCACCAACATCATTTTCTCTCAAATTTTCAACCGACTCATTCTTTGTAGAAAAATTTTTATTAAGAGATCCTCTTAAACTTTCAGAAATTTCATTGTCCTTTGCCTTTTTTTTTTCCTTTTCATATTACCAGAGAGTTGTTCCCTAAAAGACATGGCTTCGATAATTTGTTCGCAAAAATCGACACATCCCAACCCAGAATGTCCACGTGTCCATCTGAATTGTGATGTGTTGGCCAACACCCGGAGCGAGACAAAGCCATAAAGTAAGGTTAGAGTGCAAAAGTGAGGAAAACTTTAAACTTTAAATAAATAAACCAGAGTGCACACGTGATTGGGTGGTAACCCTTATTACAAAACATGAAGTTTAGAGCATAGTGCAGAAATATAAAAGATGTCTCATCTGTAAAGGATGATTATTCAATACATAAGCAACCTATTTTGACCAAAGAACAGTCAGCTACTTTGACTGAAACCTTGTACTCCCATGAGCTCAATCTCTATGTCCTGGAGAGGCGAAAAATAAAGGTGAGTGGGCCTAGAAAAATAAAGTTTTCTAAAACCTTTTTGAAAATGTGTAACCCCTTGCTGTAAAACAAGTATATGATTTCCCAAAGTAATAATATAGGTAGTAGGGAACCCTACAACACGAATGAGTTAAAGGATATAGGGTGCTACTACGAAATATCTCGTCATCAAAACTCAAATAGCTATCATAAAATCACACCTATGAAAGTTATTAAAAATTCATTGTTATGAAAATCACTGCTCATTATCTATGTAGGCACACAAGTCATACATAAAGTAACTGCATGAACAAGCTGGGTGATACACTCTGACCCGAAATGTCCACTTGGACTCCGAAGCGAGCTATGCTGGCCGACACCAGGAGGGTGACGAAGCCATAAAGTGAAGTGATGTGGAAAATGTGAATAAATTTAAACCTAAAAGTGCCTAAATATAAGAGTGCGCTTGTGAGCGGGAACAAACCCATTTCACACATGATGTCAGAGCATAAGTAAAGTATAGTAAGGTAGGATGAGAATTATACCATCGAGGTAATCTTCAATACCAAGATTTACCAAGAATCCTTGTCGACACAAAAGCTTAGCCACTAATACCTGGAGGGGCGATAAGCAAGGGTGAGTGGGCCTGAAAATAAAGTTTTGTAAAAAACTTTTCGAAAACATAATAACCACTCGCTATAAAACAAGTATAGTTTCCAAAAGATACATACTACGTATAGTATGAAAGTACTTACTGTAGCCTGCAATATCTCAAGAACTCCATGTCACAATATATTTCGTAAATAACCATGTAACGTTCGATAGTCACATAATCTCACATAAACAAATGTATCATATCGAGTGCTCATGACACATGCTGACACACAAGTTCATGCAGAGATATTCTGACATGACCAAGACTAGGTGTAACAATGATATACGCTCTAGTACTACAATCACGTGAAGACTGGTGCTATGCGCATCACATACAAGTCCTAATTGCCTATAGCAATTTAGGACATCACTGGCATCCACAATGGATCCAAAGTGAGTGTACGGTGCGATGTGCACATACACGTGAAAGACTGGCCCTAGCCCTGGTGAGTACTAACACCGGTGTAGCAAATGATGAGCAGATGACATAAATATAGTCATGCCACAGTGATTCAATAATTCTAGTCAGCATAATATTATTCATAGCAGTAAATATAATTATGACATCAATAATAATACGCATATCTGTGCATTGCTTAGGACGTAGCATAACTTCATAATTTCCATCAATGTGCTAAATCTTATAAACGTTATGCTAATCCAGACGTATTGTAGAAAACTCTTTATGAAATGTATGTATGGAAACTAACAATTATATATATACTATATAAAAGAAAAGACTCACTCACAGTTACTTGCGAGGTCATAGCCGTTCGAACTAGGCTAGCCGGAGTCTCCGATAGTAATCGCACATAAGCATAATATTGAGATCCATTAGTAAAAATCAATTAAAACATTTGAATTTGGAGAAATAGACGGCGGATTTGGAATCAGCGCGTCGAAATACGCTAAGGAGGGTCCCGGGCAATTTTCGTATAAAGTCAACCAAGACATCTCGGTTGTCAACTACGTTAAAACTTTAGAATTTCACTAAATGGATGTCAAAAACGAACTTAGGATCTTGAAATTAGCTTATGAGGGTTTTTGAGAAATTTCGAAAAAGTTAGCATAAGGAATATTCCAGAGAATATTTCATAGAAAAAATTCTAGAGAATATTCCAGCTCCATTTGGTAAATGGGCCAACTGGGTTTAATGGGTCATGGATGAATGGCCCAAAGGTTTGGGTCGGGCTAGGATCAGGTTTTGGGATTAAGGCATTTTTTTTTAATTTTTTTTTAACCGGGTTGGGTTGACTTAGTGGGCTCATGGGTTGCACCTGCCAGACCCAGTGAAGGAGAACACCGAATTTTTGGCTGGAAAACTTTTCCGGCTTCCTTTAACTTCGAAACTCAACCAAAATCCGCCATTTAATGCCAAAATGAAGCTAGTAGGTGTAGGGATTCGAGTTATACCGTTTTGGGTCTCAGCCATGGCTAGAAAAAGGTCGGCAACACAATGGTCCATTGGAAAATCTAGGGAAGTTCCTCCCCGACATGATTCCTATGCCCAACACCACTAAACCGTCTCAAAAACATCCCAAACGTAGTCTTAGGCACGATCTACAAATTTATAGGAAGGTTTCAGGCCTTACCTTCGCCAGAGAACTTGTTGGATCAGAGTTTTGCACAGTGATGGTACTGTGCATTAAGGAGACGATGTGTCTCGACCTGGGTTAGGTTCGTGATGGGGAGATTTCATGGGTGGTGTTCGCCTGAATGGCGAGTGGTGATGGTGGTGTGGTCTACTATCAGAGAATGGGGGAGGTAGCTGAGAGAGATTTAGAGAGAGTGAAGAGCGAAAGAGAAACCGGAAGGAGAGAGAGAGAAAGCTGAGAGGGAAGGTTTGGTAATGTGGGGAAGAAAGTGTCACGTGGAAGTGAGTGAGTGGGTGAGAAAGGCGTGTGTGCCCCCATCACCACAATTATCTGATAAGAAAATATTATAAAATAACATAAAAATAATAAAAGAACTAAAATAGTATTTTTTTTTTTTTTACAAAGATAATTTGCTAGATTCATGGATCTGTAAATTTTTCATCGCAGCTTCGAATTCAATTCAGCTTGCACCTACACGTTCGTACGGTTGAGTACTTCAAGAACACAATAAAATAGTAACTTGTACACACCATGAAAAGACGATCAATGAAAGTCAACAATCTCACCTCTAGGGCATTTTCGTCAATTCACTCTTTTAATATTAATAAAATTGTAAAATTAGGGACGGGTCGTCACACTGGGTGTAGGTTTTACATTCTAGTACTACATCATGTGAAGCTGACGCTACGCGCATCACATACGAGTCTAAACAACAAACCTAAGGACAGGTTGGCACATAACTTTGGATCCAAAGCGAACGTAACGGTGCATGTGAACATACACATGAAGCTAGTCCTTGGCCTATGACAATACATCTAACTAATGAACACCATGCAAACATGTAACAATGAGTAGATATAATAAATAAAGATGTCATGCCACATTTTTATACTCGAAATTAATAAAAATATACAACGTAGAAAATTTAAAATGAAAATAACCATCGCATGTGACATCAATTATGTAAAGAAAAACATGTGAAAAAAAATCACACACACACACACACACACACATATATATATATATATATATATATATATATATATATATTTAAAATCGAAAGACTCACTCACTGGTATGTCGCAGGGTGGTAGCCGTCCAACCTATTTTGCCTGCGGTACTCCTCTCGGTGGTCCTCTCCTATATAGAAAATTACTATACTAATCATTAAACTAATAATAATTGATGCAAAACACCTAATTTCCCCTTAGTTTGCTCAAAATAGAATTTGGAGACAATTGGTATTGAATTTGGAAAATCGGAGTGTGGAAACGAAATCAGGGTGTCAAAATACCTGAGGGAGGGTCCTGGGCAATTTTTCAAAAAAGTCAACTTTGATCCACTAACTGTGAACAGTTAACTTTAACGGAATATTCCCTTCTATTTCAAAAATGGGTCCGGGTTGGATCTGGCCCACGGATCCGAGTATGGGCTTGGGCCGGTTTCCAATTTGGGGTTTTTTTTTTTGTTTTTGTTTTTTGGTTTGTTGCAGATTTTCGTCAGAAAATCTGGGGAGGTTTCAAACCCTTTGTTCAAAGCCATTTCACAACCAAAATTTGCCCATAATATATCAAAACGAAGCTTAGGACGAGAGGAATAAGATTTACCTATTTCAAGGCCAAAATTTTGTCGAAGATCGTTTGAAAATGGCTTGAAAGTGATGGCCCGAGTTGTAGTTCTCTGTTTTCGTTAGTTTCAAAGTGGTTTTGGACATGCAAGCTCAAATTTGTGGCCTTGGGGTAGTGGGAAGTCGTCCTGCACCTTCAAACTCAACCAAAAAAATCTACAACTCATCGGAAAACATGGTGGGTTAGGAACCATACTTCAAAACGCGTGGAAACATGCATGCATGCTAGTAAACTACACAGAAAAACTCATGAACACAAAGATAGTGATAGAAACATCACTTGGGTTCAAGATTGAGAGCTCAAGCTCTCGGCTTCAATGGTAGAACCTCGCACCATGCACTGATGCCGCATGCAAGGCCATGGTTGGGTTCCTTGAGCTCCAAGGATTCCAAAAATAATATTTTTGAGCTTGATTTGTTGAAGGTTTGAAGAGGAATGAGAAAGAGAGCTCACGAAGCTCTAAAGAGAGTGACGAGAGAAAGCTGGAACAGAGAGAGAGAGATCCGGCTAAATGAGGGGGAAAAGGAAAAGGCAAAGGTGATGGGGAGATGGAGAAAATTTTTCACGTACCAATCACACAAGGTGACCTGAAATTCCCCAGTAATAATTGTCTGACACCTGTCTCACCACTTTTTAAATGGCACTGTGATTAATGAATTTCATTGAAATACTCATTTTACCATTATATATTCATTTTCAGAAAATAATTGAAATAATAAAAAAAAGAAAAGAAAAGAAAGAAGAAGGTAAAACGCCATCCATCTCACTGTCACGCACCATCCCCACCGATTCTACCATTACCTCTCACCTCTCCCCCTTTCTCTTTCTTTCTCCGTGTCCCTTCCCCTTTTTATTTCTTCTCTTTCGTGTGCCAGAATAA